CTACAACAAAAACAGGCCTGGAGGGAGGCATCAGAGCTCTGTCCCTCCCCAGTTCGAAGTGTTTGAGCAAATAACTCTTTTGGCTCAGAACTTCAGGTGGAAAGTAGTATGAGATTATTTTACTCTTCCTTCTGCCCTGTATCAAAAACCATCTCAATGATTTTCATGTATTATCCCCGGTTTCTTGCTCAGGTGTAGGTGAGCTCATCCTGCGCTCTCTCCCATTGCTCAGCCCAGTTGACCATTCGGGTTTTCCACTATATTTGGTCACTTATGTGATTATGAACAGATGTTAAGTATTAAGAAGACCCTGGGGGATCTTATCCAATGACTTTATCCAACAGAAAGGAGATGACGTATCAGGACTGGGTGGCTAGCCAGGTACCAGGCCGGGCCTCAGGGTAGCTGCGCAGCCTGGCATTTTCGCCTCACTTTCCAGAGGGACGAGAAGCCAAGTTCAGGTCCTTTCCAGAAATAGATGTAGATACTTCTGCTGGACTGGGAAGCCAGGAGCTGAAATATCACAAAACGACGTTTCAGGCTATGAAAAATAAGTGCTTACTAATTCTATCGTAAGGTGTCCGGTTTACGAGAAGCATTTCTGCCATTGCTCATGTCAGCTAAACTCAGAGAAGTTACCTCATCCTCAGAGAACGAGTGGTATGGTCTGTGTAGAAAGCAAAATTTGCAACGTAAAAACCAGAGTTCCTGTGCACTTTACGAGGGAGAGGGTTAGGTGCACCAGACAGGAGTTTCTCAGGTTTCCGTCTCGCCTGTTCTCTCGGCCGGGTGGCCATCTCCGCGCAGGCGGGGACCCCACCCTGCGGGACTTTGGTTCCTCCTTGCGGACAGGGGGCGCACGCAGCCGTGCCTTTCCTGCCAACTCCTCGAGTGCTCCAGCTCGGCCTTGTGCGACCGCCTCTAGGGTCCGGGACATTTCCTGTTCCGGGGCGTGTGGGACCCGGATGTAAGCGTGCTATATAAGCATTGCTCAAGTCCCACCCCTTTCTTTTTGAGGAAGACGCGGTGGTAGGAGTTGCGGATCTTTGGTTCGCACGCTCCTGCTCCTGACTCACCGCTGTTCGCTCTCGCCGAGGAACAAGTCGGTCAGGAAGCCGCGCAGCAGGCATGGTGAGGCGGCAGTCGGCGGCGGGCTGCTCAACGCAGGGCTCGGGCGCCGGGGGGACTCCGGTTTGGAGCTCGTGCTCCTGTAGGGCAGATGCTTTCCGTGTAGGGGCGGAAAGGCGCGTCTGAAATGGTGGGGGAACGCGGGAAGCTTCCGGAAACTGCCTTTCTCCAGAAGTGGCAGACCATTTTTGGCTTATTGTTCTTTCTCATGTGTCTAACAATAGGCTTTTAAGGATACCGGAAAAACACCCGTGGAGCCGGAGGTGGCAATTCACCGAATTCGAATCACCCTAACGAGCCGGAACGTTAAATCCCTGGAAAAGGGTCAGTGCAGTCGTGCGGTGGGGGCGGGAATTGGACAAAAAGCGCCGAGCTTTACTCGTTAATGTTAGTGTACAAGGTGGACTCCAAGAACTGAAGTGACAAGTTGCTTACTTTAAAAAGGTAAAGCTTGGCCTAAAACTGCTTTCATTGTCATACAGCTGGCGATGAGGAGGTACCTACTGTGTTGAATAACGGTGATAGTTTTATACGCTATTCTGAGCCAGTAGAAGTGAAGGTCTTAAGCCGATTTTAATTGTTTCGATTGTACTGAGAGGTCTTTTTATTTCCTGCAGTGTGTGCTGACTTGATCAGAGGCGCGAAGGAAAAGAACCTGAAAGTGAAAGGACCAGTTCGAATGCCTACCAAGGTAAAGTAAATCGGAGGGGCAGGAAGTAGGAGAGTTGCTTCTGGATGTTGTGTAAATTCAGGTTCTTTAAGAGGTTTGGCTGCCAAAATTGTTAACCCTGATGTTATCTACAAACGCGTATTGAAATTGGTGGTAGATTTCGGTCCCTAGTAAGTATCTAATGTTTAGATATGATCGTTTAATTATTGCTGTTGTGTTCTTGGTGTGGTTTGGTGCTTAACAGGCACAAGCTCTAAGGGTGGTGTCCTACTACAGTGAAAACAGACCTGGCATTTTCAACCCGTGGTACCTGAAAATCTGTTAGTGTAAATAGGAATCATGCCAAAGGGAAACTAATGAGATGATTAAAAGTGTTTTTCCAGATGTTCTAGGGATAAGTATAAAGCCATAAACACTTGGTTTCCTTTGTCTTTTGCTGCAGACTTTGAGAATCACTACAAGAAAAACTCCTTGTGGTGAAGGTTCTAAGACATGGGATCGTTTCCAGATGAGAATCCACAAGCGACTCATTGACTTGCACAGTCCTTCTGAGATTGTTAAGCAGATTACTTCCATCAGTATTGAGCCAGGAGTTGAGGTGGAAGTCACCATTGCAGATGCTTAAGTCAACTATTTTAATAAATTGATTACCAGTTGTTAACTTTTGTTGGTTTTTATTCGGAATACTAGCAGATTTTAGGAATATGAAAGTGTACTATGAGACTTCCACTTTTCAGGTGGAATATATGGGTATCTTAGAATGGTCTATCTTGTTTTCATTGTCGTTTGAGTCATTTGAAAACTGAATTCTGTTAACTACATAATACTGAGAGACCTGACCAGTTGTATTGGACACTGTCAGTTTATAACATTGGCATACCCTAGGAATTCTGATTGATCTGGGGCGTTTGTAATACACAGCCGTGACTGAGAGCCTAGTGCACTAGTAGGCAAGTGCTGAAAATGAGTAACTATTATTTTTAAATGAACCAAGCTTATCGTCTTTAAAAAAGAATTAATTGGCAGAGGCAGGACTAAAACTAAGTTTTAGGGTTTTAGGAACTAAAACTTAGTTTTAAGATACTTATATTTTCAGTGTTTTATATTTTAATATGAAAGTTTCACGGCGTCTTGCTCTGTGGCCCAGACTGGAGTGCAATAGTGCGATCCTGGCTCACTGCAACCTCTGCCTCACGGGTTAAAGCAATTCTCCTGCCTCAGCCTCCCAAGTAGTTGGGATTACAAGTGCCTGCCACCATGCCTGGTTAATTTTTGTATTTATAGTAGAGATGGGGTTTTGCCCTGTTGGTCAGGCTGGTCTCAAACTCCCGACCTCAGGTGATCCCCCTGGCTGGCCTCCCAGAGTGCTGCGATTAGAGGCATGGGCCACCATGCCCGGCCCATTTTCACTTTCATATTTTTAAAAAATACTTACATTTTCAGTTTTTGAGACAGTCTCTGTGGTCCAGGCTGGAGTGCAGTGGTGTGATCACTGCAGCTTTGACCTGGGCTCATGCCATCCACCTCAAATTGCCTAGTAACTGGGACTTAACAGGCATGTGGCTACTATGCCCAGCTAATTGTTTTTTGTAGAGGTGAGGTTTTGCCTTGTTTCCCAAGCTGGTCTAGAACTCTTAGACTCAAAACCCATCAGCCTGCATTAGCTTCCTAAAATGCTGGTGTTACAGGAGTGAGCCACTCACCCAGCCTAGAATTTATAATCATATACCCTTACACATTTGCTAAATGTATTGGGGAAAGTTTCTGTAGATTTATTTTGGAAAAATAAAACATCTATAAACTGTTAAGATTGCCTTCAGAAAATTTTTGAGATTTTTAATAGGATCAAAGTTGGGTAATTCAAGTTTGTCTTTGGATTTGGGCCTGAGCTTTCACACTGAACTCTTCAAATTGACCGTCAATTGAGAGATCTGTATACAACCAGCTGCATACTAGGGACCTGCAACTCACAGCTGAAAAGCTCATGTGTCTAAAATGAAATCTTCCCTCCCAGAAGCTCTGTTGTGTGTTCCGTGTTTCAATCTATTGTCCACTGAAGTCTCAGTTCAAACATTGGAGTCACCCCTTGCCCCTGCCCTGCTGTCACCCAATATCCAATTCTTTTTGAGTCTACTTCGGATCTCAAGAAGACAAACCCAATTAACATCAAGGATTTGAATGGAACTGAGTCTGGAATGAAATACACCACATTGCTAAATTTAAACCAGTTTATCTTTGGGAGCTGTTTAGGTAGCAGTTAATAAGACCATTTTAAAATGGAATACCTGTTCATATGTGGCCCCCAGACAGAAATACCTAAGAACTTTTAATGCAGCATAGCAGTCTTTGGAGCACACGTGTCTTGAGAACTGATTGAGGAAATAATTCTGAAAGCAGTGTCACTAAAGTCCAGAGAACATATACTGTGAAAAATATGCTTCAGTAAATCAGTAGTGGAAGGACAGCTTCATGGCTTTCCCTAAATTGTGAACTTTCATAATGGTGAAAGTGTTGAATTAAAGCTATATGTAATTGAGAACCTGTATTACAGCTAAAATAGCACTTAAATATTTGAAACTGCTGTTATCTTCAATTTCTCACTTAAAAATACCTGCATGGAGATAAAACTGCAGGGCCTTTGAATATAGGGAATTAAGGGTAGATTAAATAGTGGTAATGATGCCAATAATTCTATGCAAGTTACAGGCCGTCTTGTATGGATGGGGAGTTAGGAAGGTTGAAAATAGGGTATCTCTCCAGTGCTTGCTTTATTTGGATTTGCAGAGCCCTGCTTCTGGTGTAGAAATGTAAACTAGCAATAACCAAGGGAACAAACCACCATAGCTGTTCATTGCTGGGTCAGAGTTTTTTTTTTTTTACATTTGAGACAGTTTTGCTCTGTCACCCAGGTTGGAGTGCAGTAGTGTGATCATGGCTCACTTGAACTCCCTGGCTCAACCGATCCTCCTGCCTCAACCCCAGGTAGGTGGGACTACAGGCTCGCACCATGACGCCTGGCCTGGCTAATTTTTTTTGGGGAGATGGGGTCTCGCCATGTTGCCCAGGCTGGTCTCAAACTCCTGTGCTCAGGCGATCCACCCTTCTCGGCCTCCCAAAGTGCTAGGGTTATAGGTGAGAACCACTATACCCAGACTGGATTAGATTTCTTCGCATGACATCGGTAGAGTGCCTGTGTGTATGCTCTGGATATAAAATGAACAGGTAAGAGTATAGAAGTAGAATCTCTAGCCATACAGTCAGACAGATGGCTCCAAAATTAGTTAGTTGGTTATGGAGACTTTATCAAGTTACTTGACTTTGAGCCTCAGTCATGTGCCAAATGAGCATACTAATAGTATCTATCTCAAATGCATATATGGGTGTTCACTGTCCCTCTGGGAGACATTTTCCAAACAAACCAAGACTAACTTGTTAAGGGAATAGATTTCTCTCACTGGCACAGGATGTGCTCTAGCTGACCCATGATACTGCATTGAATTACAGTGTTTCCTAGGTGTCTGTGTGGGATCAGTTCAGTACCTCTCTAGAATACCAAAATTGAGGAAGCTCAAGTGCCTGATACAAAATGGCATAGTATTTGCATATAATCTATGGCATCCTCCTGTATAATTTGTCATCTCTAGATTACTTGTAATACCTAATACACTGTAAATGGTATGTAAGTAGTTGTTCTGCTGTATTTAGGGAATAATGACAAGAAAAAGAACGTCTATACATGTGCAGTAGAGACAATTTTTTTTCTGAATATTTCTGACCTACAATTGATCGAATCTACAGATGCAGAACCCATGTATATGGAGGGCCAGCAGTATACTTTGAGAAGTGTATTTGAATCCCCTGGGACATGTCCTTTTTAACTGTATTCTCCTCTGCCAAAATAGTGACCAAGCAGGTTTACGTGGAGAAATGGCCAAAGCTGAAATGTGTTCTTTTTTTGTTTAATTGTACTTCAGTCGATGCAACTGAAATTTTATCTTTTGAAAGTAAGAGGAACTACGGCTGGGTGGGGTGGCTCACCCTTGTAATCTCAACACATTGGGAGGCCAAGGTGGTTGGATCACCTGAGGTCAGGAGTTCAAGACCAGCCTGACCAACATGGTGAAACCCCGCCTCTGCTAAAAATACAAAAGTTAGCCAGGCGTGGTGGCAAGCACCTGTAATCCCAGCTACTTGGGATGCTGAAGCAGGAGAATCTCTTGAACCTGGGAGGCAGAGGTCGCAATGAGCCATTGCACT